GTCTTCAGTAGAAACTTCTACAACAGTGGAAGTTATTAAATCTGCTTTCTGCTCAGTTTTTAACTGTTAATGCTTCCAAAATAATTTCAATCTTAAGCTGCGAGGAATATTTTCGTACTAAATAACCGAAAGGTAGTAAAAGAACAAAATTTCTTGATGTTGTTAATATAATTTTTACAAACCTCCAAAACTTTCAAAAAAAATTAAAACACCCAAGTGCTTGAGGTTCCTATACTAGATAAAAATTGGAACATCCGAATATTTATAATTTATCGTAAGTAAATAGCACATAAACGAAAATTAGAGTAGGAATCACAATGCGACAGATAAGTACACCCCTTATTATATGGAATCCTCTTGTACGAAACCAACAGCGCTAAAAGATAGATTAGATATTTTCGTTTTAATATAACAGAAAATAATACATACTTTATTTTAAAACAAGAACAACGTAAAAGGTTTTTCTTTTATGTACAGAGCAACTCAACCCTTTGCACTCCAAGATTTTAATGTCTCATTTAAAATGTCTCCTCAGAGGCGATAGCCGAGTGCAAAGAATTAAAGTAAATAAGGAGATAAAATTAAAATCTAATCACTGTCGGAATCACTTAAAATTAGTCTGCAACAAAATCACATTTTTGGTATTACGTCCAACTTCCTCATCGATTGGATTTGATTTAGTTTCAGAATTTGTGTGCTCCTCATTTGACAATGTGTCTGCTTGTATTATTTTTTTATGAAGAATCTCATTATTGTACTTATTCCGTACCTCCATTTACAGGGTCCTTTTTCTACGCGGTAAATCGTAACACTATTTGTGGCACTGAACAAAATTTAGTTTTGTTTTCTGAAATATTATTAGTATTATTTTTTGTCAAGCTACCTGAAATAAATATGTATTTCTAAACTTTACACCATCTTTTCTTTCTGATTATTTACACGATTTTCATTCGCGTAAGACGATTAAATGTAGAGAACGGATACTCCGCGTAAATGGAGGGACGGGTTTAACTTTTAGATCGCGTTATATGGGTTCTACTGCACATTGAAAAAGATATGAGAACGTATTCAATCTTGCTTACCCCCACTTGTCTTCCTCGTCCGATTCACTGTTGCGATCGTAAAACCTCTCCGGAATATTCATTACACTGTCTTTGCGCTCACCCCGCCCTGTGGGTAGAGGAAACTATTATTCTTTCTGTGAGTCGGCACATTGGCGATTACCCGCTCAGCGACCTGCGTGTTTCACCCGTTCCATTGGCAACACGAAAATCTTCGCGTTTCTTTGTTGTCTCGCAAAGGAAAAGAGTTATTTCGTTGTTGCCTTCTTGACTACGAACACAGGGTATTTCATTTAAGTTGAATGTATAAATTCTTTCCGTTGTTACAGCGAAGAAAATGTACCTAAGAGAATTCACGTAGTTTCAAAATGAACATCCAGCAATGATGGAGAAAATACTCATATCATTTTTAAATATTATTTTAAGATTATTATTATTTTTTCAACCTCATCATTTATTTTTTATGAAATGACGTTACAGTCAATATAAAAATGAATTTAATGATGTATGGCGTCATGAAACATTTTGAAACGACTTTGAATAAAAAGTGAGATTAAGTTGGAAGAATATAAAACTGATCAGTTAAGATTATTAAATCATTTCTTCCTAGAAGTTTAGCCAGCTTGGTCGTCTGACTTATCGTTATTATATTATTATTATTACTAATGCAGAATTGTGAATTTTTGACCTTGCACTGACCTTCAATGAAAAATTAAAAGAATATGGAAAGAGATTTTAAAATTGTATTCATTTTTCGTTCGCTATCAAATCGTGTCATTTACGAAATGTTAAATAAACAATAAATGTTAATATGGGAAAAGTTATGATAACCTCAAAATGGCAATCAAAATGTTTTCAGAAGAATATTTTTTTCATTATAGCTAGATGCACACTTTGAAAATATATAGATTTCTTTCGGTCAATCCTTTCTGTTTTCCATAACAACAGAAGTAATTTGGATATCAGACTTATGCAAGACACCCTGTACATGAAATGTCACGCAGATTGCTAAGGGGCCGTTACTCGAAATCCCTTTTGCACCCACTAAATATGACTGTCTACCTAAAGATCCATACTCTTTGCACAAAGCTTTACTTTATGTAGCAGTCAATGAAGCTTTCAACTGGTATAAATTGTCAGTGTACTGTTAAGCGTTTTCGAACCACGCATCTCTGTATACAATGTATATCTACAATTGTAGTACGATAAAAAGGAACAAGGTGAACCCTCATGTAAAACTGAACCGAAAACGTAGATGGAAAATTATTTCGTATCAGATTCTATTATCAAGAAAGTTCAATTGCAATAATTCATTAATATTCTCTCGTTATTTACAGTTTCTGCATATTGCAAACTAACAAGAAACAAGTTTTCCATGCTTGTTACTATAACAAAGGAACTTGACAAATTTTTTTTATTTTGAACACATTATTTCCTACACTTTCGACTCATCATTACATCAAGAGATCCACTTTCTAAATTGCACTGCGATATTCAATTGACTTCTATGTACAATAATATAATATAAGATTAAATAATTCTATTTACAAAATTGTTTATTTAGTTTCAATCCATGTGCACAGTATCCCTCATGATAATTCGAATGATAATAATTTCATACTTTACCTCACTTTTCGAATGTTGATCTTAATATTCTATATTATGTGTAATACAAATGACTATTTATTAAAATGATTAACAATTTTCTTATTTTTCAATAATTGTAATGTACCTTGGAGCTCATTCAGCAAGTCTTCATTTTATTATATTTTTATAAAACTTTAAAAAAATTAATTCGATAAACATTAAAAGTTTAATACAATAATTAGAGAAAAATGTTAACATTCTATAAGCATTATTTATATGAAATACACACTAGTAAGTAATTTTTTAAGCGAATATTATTGTATACTTAATAAATTTATCATACGAAGAGGTTTTACTTTAGAATAAAAAATTGTATTTTTCGAACACTTACAATCATTCGAATAATTATAAAGGATATCATATAGTTAATTTGATCGATTTTGAAAAATGTTCTATAGAATCCTTTCTTTTAATACTTAAAACCAATCTTGGGAATGAAATGTAATCATTTCTGAGCTGTCTTGGCTAATAACGTATGAATATATTGTTATAATTTCAAATTGCTCGCGTTCTAGTAATGACTTCGTAATTTGGAATAAAAGTGAAGTAACCAAAGGTGAAATAATAATAATAATGATCGAAAAAGAAGTAGCACGAAAGATCACACTAACGTGTAGCATGATAGATAGAAAATTCTTAATGAAATGGGAAAAGTAAGAAAAAGTTGAAGTATAATAATTATTACGCTTGCTTTTAAACGTTAAATCGGTTATATATCCTTTTTATATATAGATCTTCCCAACGACGTTGAGAACCACTGTATCTACAAAATGAAAACCATTTTTAATCGATTCTATCGGGACGCTTGGATGAGCAAAGCTATTGGCCAAAGTTGTTGTTTGTCAGAGTGATGAGCCTGTGTGTTCTACCATCTACATGAAAAATTTCGTGAAAAAAGAGAACTACGACTAACATACCTACTACCGATTATTATCATTAATGTATAATATCGTCAAAGGTGTAATAATACAATTTTGATCACGATTACCATCATACAATCAAGAAAGGATGGAAAGCATTAACGTGGGTAAATCGGCAAATGGTACAGTTAATGACATTAAAGCTTCCTACTTACGCTTTTCTTAGCTACTTGTGGCAAAACGCTAGCTAAGTGTGGTACAGGTACTTCAATTATAGCTATTCCTTAAGTGCTTACGAATTTGTTAACATTGCAAAGGTTGGCATCGCTTATTACTAGATATATTGTCTAGTGGTTCTACTGTGTTCGTCTATTCTATGTGGAACAGATGTTATGGAAAAGTACAATGATATGTTATTGAATGTTGATACGTACAATAATGTTGAGTTATCACTCTTCTAATCCAGCAACTTTAATCACGTTCAAATAATCTCTGGTTCGGAGTAACGTAATTGTATTGGGTTGCGGCATAAGTTCTGTTCTTTTGAGGACGTCTTTTATAGATTTAACTTTTAACAACGGTTTACGAGATTTGTACATTTTATTGCCAGTTACGACAATATTTGAAAATTTGTATTTTGCATATGTTTTATGAAATCTATGGTTGCCAGTTGTTCATGTGCCAGTCATTAATTGTAATGGAAATAAATAGAAAGTAGAAGAAGTCGATAGAAATGAAATGCTACTTTACTATTATCAATATTTAAGCTTTGTAAAATTTGTAATCAATATAAAATTACTCGTGATTAATATAAAATTCCTTTACCCTAAGACAAACAATTAACAACGAAGTAATTTTAACGACTAAGAAGGATACAAAGAGAATCATAAAATAAAGAATCAATGTAATCTGTTTTAAAAGTTTTATATTAATTATGTTTTGTCAGAAAATGTATTGTACTTTATGAAGTCCATTTTATTTTTTCTCTTGTTCTTTTGTCATGATGTGCTTCGTTTTTTCTTTTAATTGTCACAAAATGTTTTATCATTTAATGTTGTTAAACGTGTTTAAGTATGTATATTTTGAATGTAGAAAATGAACACCAATTTAATATTTGATATTCAAAGTTAAAAAATTCAAAAAGTGAAGATTATGTGAAGTCACCTACTATACAATTCTACATGGAGAAAATTTCTCCATTTGAAACCTCCTTTTTGAGAATATCAAACTTGAATGTTTGCCGAGAATATATACATTGGTCTAGCTAACGAATGTATAAATAAGGTTGTTTTGGGTATCAAAATATATAAAAATTGTAAGATGGTGTTTTTTTATTTGCAATCTTATTTTTGAAGAAAAAATTGAACACATTTTGTCTACAGTTAATTAAATACAGGTGTGCGCGATACATTTTCAGAGTGAATTTTTTCAAAAACTGGGTTTCAAATGAATCAATTTTATTTTACATTTTGTATCCATTTTTTCATGTAGAATAATTTTCTGTCGATTGCACAAAGTTTCTTAACTTTCCTATGAAAGAGACCTAAAAGAAGAAGTTTTACTGATTACTTGTTATTTTTTATATTCTCGCTATATAGTTTGTTGCAACATTTGTTGCACTATTTAAAATTATTCATAATCAACAATGACATTCGAATTTTGATACACTAATTCACTGATCGACTTACCAACAAAATGGTGGACAGAACTTATGCAACAACTTAGTATACTTCATTCTTTCTAAAACATGCTCTATCCCCTGTTTTAGATTAAGGTTACTGTATGTCGTATGTTCGTTATCGTCAAATGCATTTCGATAAATAATATCAGAATGATATTCCATTTCAATTGAAAAGAAATATTTTTGTTTAAATTTCCATCTGAAGAAAAATAAGAAATTTTCTTTTCTTTTACAATTACTCATTAGTTGAAATATATGTATAGGAGGATGTCTTTCCTGTTTCGTATGTTAAATACGAAATTAGTCTTTTATTCATATTTTTATTTTGTACATTTGTAAAACTGGCATTTTATAAATTTCATTCGCGTGCTCTCGGAATTGTGTAGCATTCATATTTACTGCTTTAACCACTGTCGCAGCACTGTTCTATTAGATATATGGGAAACATGTCAGAAATCCATCGTCAAGCATATTTGATACGAATTCCGATAGCATGTTTGGAATCTACTGGAAGTCTATGGCTGGGCTGAAATTAATGGGTCAATTTGTGGTACGTACGATCACTAAAATTCAATTACTTCGTCCAATTCGGTTTCCATTATTGCTTCTTTAATTACACTTTTGTTTGAATGTTCAAAAAGATACAAAAACATTTGACACATCTGTAGAATGAATATTGTAATCATACTTTTAAATAATTTGAGTTTCAAACGTCAAAATAATTATACAAGAATTTATCATGGATTAAATACAAAAATTGACATGTTATTCATAACATATATATTTTATTAATTACATTTTTTCAGAATTAATGCTACGAAAGTTTGTTAAGAAAAATTATTGACTTAACTGTCTTTCGTGTTAATTGAAAACTTTTACTTGCAGTTAGACGGAAATTAATTATTACAATTAAATATTAAT